GAGATCCTCTCCTATTCGAATAATCTAAAATAAAATAAGGTGAAAAATGCAATTCAGCTGGATTCCAAATTGCCAATGGGACAAAAGTACCACTTAGCAACCGTTGTATCGCGATTAAAGCGATTGTACCGAAGTACCTTATTTCCCGTCATTATCAGAGACTTGAGACGTTGGAGCAAGGGAAAGCCGTCCAGCTTACGGATTTCATTATCAGTAAAATCGATTGTGTCAAATTGATCCAGTGTACTGCCCAAATTTTCAATAGCAGGAACTTTATACCCTCGTAAATCAAGCTCTCGATCCCTAAGGGGATTTGTATATTGCATAGCCCCCTCGACCAGATCAATCGTCAACTTAACCATGTCCAACAAACCAAAATCTCACCCGACCTCAAATTTGTCGGGAAGTCACCCGAATAAAACAAGATAAATAAAGGTCTATATCAACATTTATATATTTTAGATGACCGAATACAGAAAAATTTTGCTCATCAAACATTCAATCATTGCCTACATGTTATGATATAGTAAAACTTAAAAAATTTTAATTTTGCATTTGATTTCAAAAAAAACATATGTAAAAAAATGTAGATTGTAGCGATAATAAATCTAATTTATTAGTTCATTCTAGGCAATGGAGCTTGCAATTAATTACATGGAATATGCAATCAGTCGGTCGTCTTGGTTCTGCGGTACAGCAAGTCCATTCCAGAAAAAGGGATACTCTCCTAAATAATTTGAATTCCAGGCTTCGTGAATCGCTTAAGTCCATCCAGGAAAATTATGAGTTGATGTTGTCTCGCGCAAAAGTGCGGCTCTGTTATTTTAGCAATTTTAGGTGGAAAATCACTCGTTGGTGAATTGTAGTGATCCCTACGCGCTCACTATCCAGGAGAACTTTGAATGTAATGTCAGGGCTGCAAACATTGTGAGCTTCTTTGATTCTTTGATTCAGTTAATTTAAGCAAGAGAATTGTGGGTGTCTAGAACTCGGCCTTTGTTCTTCTTCTTACTTTTGTTTTATATTTTTTTTT